AAACCAGGGTCTGGTAGTACATCAAATTACGCAGAACACTTTGCTAGCAAACTTTTGCTCTCTGTGGCAAGTTTCATCTGTCCAGAAACCTGCTCGTGCTATTAAAATAGGAGTCTTTGTTCCCATTCGACATGCCAGCGACTGTGAAAGCCTACAGCGAACCGTATAATAAAAGGGCACATCCGATCGTTCGGTGCTGGGGCAGCACCTGCACCAGCTGTACCTGTATCTGCTTCAGTAGTTTGGGTATCTGTTTGCAGTTCAGCTTCTGGCAGGCTTGCTTGTAGGCGGTCATGATTTCATCGACAGTCACGTTCTGGGCTGAAAAGGTACAGGGTAAGAATTGAGGTTAGGGTTGTATCTGGCGGAATCGACAGTTTTTCCCCCATCAGATGCCGCTATCTGCCGGGTGTAAATCCAGAGCCTGCAAGGAGATTTACAAGGATTAAGGATGTTCAAATGCAAGGGGACAAAGCAAAACCTGAGTGGGACTTGCTTGAACATGTTTATGGCAGCAAGCCCTGTCTTGCTCAGGTGGAAAAGGGGTCGGAGAAGCACAGTCGGCACCTCTGGCCTCCTCCAGTCGCGTTTTGGCACAAAAGCGGATCTTTCGGGAGCAGAAAAGCTTTTAGGAAGAGTGATGGGACGACAAACCCTGAGCCCCTTCAGCAGGTTGCCGTGGTGGTTAAACAGTGTTGTCAAATATGTTCCTCTCACTTTTGGTCTCAACTTTGGTTTTTCACTCAATCGCTTCGCGATTGCCGTGCGGGCACGGAGATGGACAGGGCGCATCCACCTCCGTGTATAACCCCAGCTTTTCCCTAATCGGCTTTCGGAGACAGCTGGAGCAGCATGCGGAGGACTTGGGGGTCAGCCTGAGTCAGCGAGGCATCGGCTAAAAGCTCCCAGAGTTGTCATTCTCTGGTGAATACATCCTCGAAATTCAGCTCCTCGCTTGGAAGCGGCAGGAGGGACGCCTTGCTGCCATCACCACCGCCGAGCTCAGCTCCGAGGGCAGCCAAGCAGCATTTACTCACCGCTTCTGCCTTCCCTGAATCATGGGTAATGCTGCTGCTCCTCCAGATGCCGGGGAAGCCAACGCAGGCGGTGGGAGCTGCCACGGGATCATTAGCCACGTGAGGCAATGCCCACCTCCGCTTTTGGCGTGATTTTGGTTCGGCGATTGGCCCAAACAAACACTAAAGCCGTCTCCGGTCAGAAAACGATCTGGAGAAACCAGATTCCCCAGGAACTTCATCTGGCAGAGCACAAAGCAACCCCCCGCCGCCCATCCCTGAGGATTACGACATCCAGAGAGCTTGATAAAAACCTAAACACTCTACCAGCAGGAGAAAAAAAAAAAAAAAGAGAAGATTTTAATCTTCTCCCTGTTCACAACAAACCCATCGGGCATCTCTGCAGCAGGATGTGGGCAGAGCAACACGTGGCAGAGGCAACGCCGCGCCCTGGCTCAGCTGCACCGCTCAGAAACATCTTTTTGACAGTTTTTAGCCCTACAACCCTTCCCAAGCCACTGTGGCGAGGTTTGCCGGGACAACCAACATCCAGCTGAGCAAAGCAGCAAAGGTTTAAATACACCCCAAGCAAGTGCTTCACTGCGCAAGACCTAAGAACAGTTTTCACGCCCCAAAAGCCCCACGCGAAAGAAAGCATTTGCTCCCTTGAAGCAACATGGGCACGTGTCGGGTTGCCCATTTTCCAGGAGCTGAAGAAAGCACCGTGGAGGAAAATCCACTGAGGTCGAGCGAGCCCTGTGTCTAAAAAAAAAGAAAATATTAAGGTTAGCAAGGGGATTAGCAGCACACTGTGACATTTCTGATCCCATCTGCCACGTGAATGCTTTCCTGAAAAAAATCAAGCATGATTTTGGGAAAGCGAGGAAAGTAAAGGAGAGTCGCTGCTGGCCTAATGTGGACGAGCATCCCAGGAGCGCAAGGGCACGGGAGAAACCAAGCGTCTGCGAACCCGGCTCCAAAATGTCCTGGCTGAAGGATTTCTCCCCAAATCTGAACTCAAGCATGCTTTGCCAATCTAGTTTTTATTAGTTCCTGGCAGTAAAATGCCACGCTCTGCCCTCTCCTGGGTAGAAGTCCTAAATTTTAACAACTCTCGTTGCTGGAGGATGAGGATTTGCTTCTGCTTCCCTCTGCGCACGGCCTGGCACACCTTCATTCCCACCTCACAGCGCTCACCGAGCCTTGCCAGAAGTCCAGTGGGAAGCAGTGACAGGTCTCATGGTCCTCTCGAGCTGCTTCCAATATCCCACTTCACCCAGAGACAGGCACCCAGAAGCTTGCTGGCCTGTGCGAGCCGAGAGTTGTGGGTCCACGAGGATCGGAGCGACTCCCCATTCCCAAAGAAGATCCTGGAATGATTTCCTCCACGTGGTTAAACACGCAGGAGTGGAACCAGATCACCAGCAGGAACCTCTCAGCTGCTATTCCCAGGTCTCCTCCAGGCTTCACCGTCAGTGCCAAGCCTGTTCCCACCTCCCTGGCAAGCATCGGGAGCTCCCACGTCTGCCGGGCGCTGGAAAATGCCCCGCATTTACGCCCAGCATCACAACCACTCCTGCAACTGTATAGGCAAGACCAAAACCACCGGTGAGCCTGGCATCCACTTCATACATCCCTGTAGCCAGCAATCCCTGCGGCATTTCTGACGTGAGATCATCCAGCCAGCCCATAACCCTTCCACAGCAGCTCCGGTGGGGCTGCCGGCCGGAGCAGTTGGGATTTGATCTTGGTTTTGCTCTCATGAAGCCTTTCAGGAAGTAAATGCCAACACCGAGCAGCGGTTCTTCCGCTTCGCTCCAAGGCCACCTCGCTCTTCTGAAACTCAGATCCACGAAAAACATCCTTCCTTTTGCCCAAATGATGCATCCTTAGGATCAGCACCAAGACCTTCCGAGGAAATTTCCTCACGAGCTATCAGGGGTTTTAATTAAAAAGTATCTTCATGCTGGTTTTCAGAGCATCCCATCCCTGCTTCTTTCTATTCCCCCCCTTCGCAAAGGGCTGCTCTCCTGCCCGTTCGTGGTAACGAAGCCTGCAAGTCAGTATTAATCTTTCCTGTTTGAGCTCCGTCTTGTGGCTCACCAGCAAATATTTGCAGTGTCTGTAACATCTGCCTTCAAAAAACCCTTGAAATTTCTGGGAAAACCTTTTTTTTGGCAGGGCAGGGCAGCAGATGAGAGCTGAAACCGATCCTGTGGCATGTGTTTTTCAGCAGCTCCAGAGCTGGCAGAAGGGTTTTACGCTGCTGACGCCGTCCGTAAAACAAAGCAGAGCTGTTCCGCAAACAGGTTTGGTAAAATACATATTTACACATGGTCAGGCGGGCGGGCGATCGGAGTGAGCAAAGCACAGCCAACTCCTGCCTCGGGTGGAATTACCCACAGCTTCAAATATCTGGTTTTAGAAAAAGCAGTCTGGAGACCGCGCAGATTTCCGTTTGGAGCATCCCTGACGGCGTCCTAGATCCCCTCCTTCCTTAAAGTCTGTCCCAAAAAATAATCACATTAAAGGACAAAAAGGGGGTGGAAACCAGAGCTTGTCTCATGGTGCTTCAGGCCCCCCCGGGAAAACAGCAGCTGCACAAGACTTCAGCGCATTTCCCTAACAAAGAACTAATATTTATTACTCAAATGACGACCGGCTTTGACCCCGCTCACATCCTGATCCCCTCTGCCATTTTAAAACCCTCTGCTAACATCCCCAAACAGAGTTAACCACCTTATTAATTAATCTCTTTATTATTGCTTGGCAGGTTAAGATCCAAAGAGCGATAACAAGGGTATTTCCCAACCTCCTGTGTAACTCGATGTTTTCAATCTGACAATATGCTACTAATTTTCGCCCACAGCTCCCAGCAGAGTGGCCGCCGGCTTCACCGGGAGCTGCTCCAGCGATGACACGGGCACTGGAAAACACAAACTGTGGCCACTCAGCCAACGAAGACAACAACGGCCTCGCGTTGCTCTCCTTTTCCTGGTCACCAAAAGCACCATTTACGTGTGTTTTGCTCTTGACTACGAGCTCTTCAGGGCTTTCTTTGCTCCGACTCTCTGCGAGGAGCCCCTGGCGGTGCCGCAACTCAGGCGGCAACAAATACGGATCCCTCAGAAAGGATCCCCAAATCCCCCGGGGATTTACTTTTCCCGAGAGGCATTTAAGCCCCTGGGAGATTGGGACGACGCACAGGCCCCGCTGCCTGCGAGGACGCGTGGCACCAGGGAGGGACAGACTGTTAAATCCCATTAAAGCCTGGCATTTCCATGCCCCCTAACTGCTCTGCCCGCAGCGGGTTTTCCTTTGCCTGCTTCTCCGTCCACGTCCAACCCTGGGATGATGCGACGCCAAAACAAACAGGTTGTTATTTATTAACAGGCGGCATTAGCCGCTGGCCACAGCCAGCTCGTCTTCTCAGCCTCCGCGCCATGGAAGAGAAAAGCTGATTTTTCACAGGCTCATGCTACACTTCACTTAGTTTTGCTCCCTGCATTCGCTTTGAGCCCACGTCCTGGGCGGTGGAGCGTAAGAAAAAGGAGGCAAAAGCTGAAGGAGGCAGCAGGGACGTCCCTGTCTTGGTGCTGCTCACGGAGTATGTCCCAAAGTCCGATCAGGCAAAGTGATGATTTTAATACAATCTAACGAAACGATTTACCTCCATCCCCAGGGTCACCAAATGAGATCTCTAACTCTGCCTCCACTCGGGAGCATCCTGCTGCCACTTCTCCCTAGCGAGGCTTCATGTCCCATCTTCCCACACAAGGGGAACAGCAGCTGGAAGAAAATTTTTTTTCTTCTCTAGGGAAGCATAAAGAACCCCAACCCAGCAGAGGAGTTTGCCGGCAATCAAGCGGCTCCTTCACTCTCAGTCTGGTGGCATTCAATGTAAGGAGAGGAAGGCAGTGCCAGAGTCACCCCAACACCCGGATTTGCTCTTCCTCCAGCAAAGGGCACTGGATCCTGCATTTTGAGGGAATGGCACCTGCCAGCCAGGTGAGTAACGGAGCTTCTCCGCCTGATGGAAGCGGGCAGAGGCACGAGCCAACTCTCCCTGGGTCTCTCCTGCTTTGGCAGACATCCTGATCCCTGCAGCAACCCAGGCTTCCTCGCTGCCCAGACGCTCGGTGTCGATGCTGGTCCAAACCGAACACATCAAGATGTGGAACGCTTGGGACAGCAGGACTTCACCCACATGATGCCTCCAGGGTTTTTTTTCACTCCTGTTTCTACACCTTCTCCTTCATGACGCTGCTGCAGTTTCCCAGCTGTATCCCAGGGAACTGGGTGAAG